TTCCGAAGGCGTCTTTTGCGACTCCAGCAGTCCACGTAGTTAGGAAAAGACTGCGTAGCCTCGGCTCACGTGTCGTTGCCGAACAAAATCTGGTGACATATGTACTGGCGCTGCTGGCTGAACTCCAGCCCTTGCATAAACCCAAGAAGTTTCCGCAGGACTGGAAAGTGCCGCAAGTTGTTGTCATGCTGCCGTCAGTGTCGGTCATTCCAGCAGGCAGCAAGATATTGTCGCGCGTTCAGAAGGGAGGGATTGCCAGGGGCGCCGCATCCTTAGAGTGGGGGTCCTGTGGTCATATTTGGAGTTCATCAGGGAAGCTGGCAAGATGGGCCATCCAGTGCACAGGCTCTCGGACGAGATGGACTCATGCAGGAGATGGTCTTTAACAACCCGGAGTCCGGCAGAAACCATAGAGAATTAGAGAATCATCCTTGGACAAGTGAGAAAAGAGAGCTGACGAGTTAGCGAAGAAGGAGGAGGAATTGAAAGGAATCATGTCAAGTATCTTGAGATCGAAGAATCTGCAAGTCTTTAGGGAGATGCTAGAAAACTTTGGTTATGACGATGTTGCAGTTGTTGACGAGATCGTCGAGGGATTTTCTTGAGTGGGGGCAGTGCCTGTCACCGACGTCCTGGATACCAAATTGAAGCCAGCAAGCATCGATGAGGAGCGCAGTTGCGTGAGTTGTCAGAGGTGGCGAATGCAAGGTGATCATGACCTCGACCGAGTTGTGGAAGAAGACTATGAGCGGGGCATCTCTCCCGACTTGCCCGTCGAGGTTGAGGACCTGCCTGAAGGGTGCAGAATTAGTTTCAGCTTTCTCTTTGATGCAATGGATAAGCTCAGGCCCATAGGTATCTACTGCAGCTCGCGTATCGGAGAAACCGCTCGCTCATTCCGTAGATGAAGTTACTCTGATAATCAACAGGCAAACGTGGTTTCGAGAAGTTGTTTGAGGTTGGGAAGGCTGCCGCTTTGAAATCCGCCCGCAGACAGTTGGCTTTACCAGCCAGATGAGAGCCTTAAGTGCACCTATGTGGCAGCGTGCGATCCTGATGGAGGTAGACCAAGACTGTTTCGGCAGCTCGCAACTTCTGTTTCCCAGGTGTGTTCGTGTTTTGAAGGCAAAAAATTCATGGGTTTTCAGTGGGCCCAATATCACTGGAAAGTATGACTACAAAATTGCTACCAGGAGAATAGTTCCACGTACTTTTGAGGTTGAGTTTTGAACATTCATGTCCTCCAGGAGTTTGCAGGGCACACATTGCGCGTGCACAGGCGTGTCAGTTGCAGAAGTTTCCAGTCACTGTAAACACAAGTTTGCATGTTGCCCATGGAGGTTGAAGACCCTCTCAGCTGAAGAGACAAAGTTAAAAAATGCCAGCTCCAGCTAGCTTATTAGGTCTGGCTTTTTTCAACAGGGACGGAACATCCTTCTGCGGAGGTCTTGTTGGATAAGTATGGCTACGATGATTTTGTGTGGTGGACCTTTCTCGGGACGAAAGATCCTATACCTCCCGACAGCGCCTTCGGCTCTGAGATCTTGACTACCTGGCGATGCTTTGCTTTTGCCGCGTCAGCTAACGCACCTTTCAGTTTGAACCAGGCTCACCCAAGCGCCCAAGCTGAATAGTGTCGCGGCCTCATTAGTCTAGGGCCCCTCCCCCCAAACAAAAATGGGGCCCTATTTAGTGTAGGGCGGGGTACCCGCCAAACATTCCATGGTTTTCAGGTTTTAATAAAATTCAATAGGAGGGATCGGGATCGGCTCGGATCCGAGGTTTAACTTAAGTTCAACAGGATGGATCAGGATCGGCTCGGATCCGAGATTTAGTTTAATTCAATAGGATGGATCAGGATCGGTTCGGATCCTAGGTTTAAATTCATTCAATTCAAAAGGATGGAGGTTTAAATTACATTCAATAGGATGAATCAGGATCGGCTTGGATCCTAGGTTTAGTTTAAGGTCAAAAGGATGGATCGGGATCGGCTCGGATCCTAGGTTTGAATTAAGATTAATAGGAAGGATCAGGATCGGGGAAGCTTGAGGGTCCTGGAAGCTTGGCAAGGTTTTTGGTTTCTGCTATTTTTAGGTCCCCCGATTTGACGGATAATTGAGGCCCCCCCAAAACTTTCGAATATTGGCGGCCCTGGGCAGCTGCTGGATTTCCCCTTAGGAAAAATCATTGCTACGCCTCCTCGAAAAAGCGGTCTCAGAAGAAATCGATAGTGTTGGACTTGGCTTGGAACCTTACAATCCGGAGTTAAGAGGTTGAAGCTCCGGAAACTTGAGGTTCTGGAAGCTCTGGACGAAGGGGTTGTAGTCTAAGTAACAAAATGCAGCTTGGATTAGGACCTTAAACTAAATACTTACTGCCAGCCATGCTTTTCAAAACAAATTTTGTTCAACATACTTACTTTCATAATTAATTTATTTGGCCGCGCAACTTTGCACAATTAAGGCCCCCCAAACGAGTCACGGGGTACTGAATAATTTCGCCGAAGCTTCGCACAATTGAGACCCCCCACATTAATCGGGCCACAACATGAGGACGAATTCTGGATTTGCGGGAGGCTTACAAGCGGCTGGCTGCTGCTGAGGGTAATCGTCGGGTGATGGTTCTGACGCACGCATTGGCCTAGTTTACTATGTTGCAGCACATTCCATACTGTTTGGAGGGAGGATGTATACTCGTTCAAATAAGTATGTGGTGCTTTGTCATTCCTGTTCGATGCTTGTTTGAAGGTGCGTTCGGTAATTTGTGATGACTTCAGATCGATCATTGCAGATGATGTTTAAGCCGGTTTGAGCTTCGTCGTATGACGCACTCCATTCTTTGCTGGCGGCGTTGGGATGTTTGTACCCTAACGATGCAGGCTTTTTTTGATGTCCGATTTGACGTGTTGGGGTGCATGGTTGACGGCTCTCGTCTTTGTCATCCGGGTCCATGGCCCATGACTCTGCGGAACAAGGATGGGAGAATCCACTCCACACAGGGGCTTCGAGGAAACGGTTCGATGATCCTCATTGGCCAGTTCCAGTTGCCCAAACTTTGCAGCTGGTTTCGTGATGGGACGTTTCCTGCAACCGTTGACTTGCTCGCTAATCTGTAGACATACCCCAGAATCCCTCGACGCCCTATTAGGTGATATGCTGGATGCGCTGGGCACTTGCCGCCAGGCCTCAGGTTCTGTCATGGCATTTCCCAGCAGACCCGATCTAGGTTTTTCTGACGTCTCCTACGAAGGCGCTTCGGCAGACTTCGGAGCCCTTACCCTTGATAGATTGGGTGGCCGCCCTGACGCCTACGATTACAATGATGTTGTACCGCAAGACCTTGTACGTCACTGGCAGTCCATTGGCCAGGACCAGATCATCTCCCACGCGGCATTGGTTGCGGTAGTGGCCGCGGGTCACCGATTCAAGGAGCGTTCACGGCAGACCCAGTATACCTTGTGGGCACTGCAAGTGCTCGCTTCGCGTTTGTGAAATGCACGAGTGGCAAAACCAGTATGAAAATTGTGACTGCACTTTCCGCGCCATTAAGCTTACCTTTGCTGATGTTTCCAGGGTGGAGACCGTTCCTAGTTCCAGTAACCGTATTAACCCGGCCGACTCCCCTTCAAGTGCAAAGTTCTTGGGTGCGTGTGTGCATCCTGCGCAAAAATCTGCTGTGATCTCTTGAATTGCTTGTACGTTTGCATGTGCCACGGACTCCCAACCTATTGATTCAATTGTTTGTGTCATCCTATGCAGCATCCCAGCCTCCGGGGGAGGAGTTGCGGTGCATTCGAAGCACAACCTTTTTACAGCATAAAGAGCAGATGTTTGATCTGAAAAAAGAAACGGTTGTGTCATCGCTGGTGTTATGAACATACTGCGCTTTCAAGTCAATGCTGCAGTGAGTGATTCCGACGTATTTGCGAGTGTGGATTTGTATAGGTACATATAGAAGTTGGTGCAAATACTAAACTGGAAATTTGCTGTTACATAACATGTTGGAATCAGAATCATTTCAGGCATGCATGCTGCCTACCAGTATCTGCACAAGTTGTCTAAGAACACTGGGTGTTGAAGTGGATTGGCTTGTCAAAATGTCCAGAAGATCTTTTTTCTGATTTCATCGGGATGGGGCACCGATTCAATCGTTGTGGATGACTACTTAGCATTATGTTCAGGGACTTTGCAAATGTTGCTGAATGCGGCTGCAGCAAGGTTTCTTGGGTTCGTATCGAATGAAAGGATCACTACCTGCTTTCATTGTTTGTTTTTGGTATGACATTTGTGGTCAGCCTTTGTGTTGTTGTTCGCATTGTGTTTCCAAGCATGTGTGCCGCAAACATGTTAGCAGACCAAGATTTTTTTGCCAACCATGCAGGATCTGCAGCCTTTTCAGGTCAAATCATTTCGCAAGCAATGAAGGCATGCAGAGACTCATTTTCCGTCTTAGCAAGTCATTTAGGAATCTAATTGCATTGAAAGAAGAGTTGTCGTCCCTTGCCCCAGGATATGGCAAAGCCACGGAGTGAGCGCCCTTCTTCTTCACAAACATGGTTTCGGAGATGTGTCATTTGCTGGACTGCTCCATTGAGTTTTCTTTTCTTGGCGGTGTCCTGCATACCCATCGCAGATACAGAAGTGGGTTTGCTCCAACTTATCGGCCCACCAATGCTTGGCCTGGCGGCAATCTCTCTTTTAGGAGTCACGTTACCTCTTTGTGGGTGCACATCCAAATGTTTACCACCTATACAAGTCATGTTGCAGATTCTGATTATTGGGTATTTCCTGGCTGCTCAGACGTACAACCGAACGACGGAGAGTCCTCCAAGAGCCACCGGTGCAGACCCTGAAACCCAGGCGCCAAAAGTGGTCCAAAGATTTTTGCAGCCGCGTCAACCCTCCGGGACCATGTCGGTGGTGTTGCCCTGCTTGAATGAGCCATATGCCTTTAAAACCGTTATGAGCTTTTGCAACAGAACGCCTGCAACCGTGCTGGAGGAGATTATTGTTGTGGATGATGCTTCAACTCCTCCTTTGGCCAACAAGCTTGAAGGTGTGCCGCCTCATTGCAAAATGAAGGTCCTTCGGCATAATGAGTCCTTGGGACTGATGATAGCTAAACAGACTGGAGGGGATGCTGCATCAGGGGCATACATTGGCTTCTACGACTGCCACGTGGCACCTGCCAAAAACTGGTACAAAGAGACCATTGATCTGCTGGCAGCGAAAGAGCGGCGGCTGGTTGTTCCAATGATTGCAGATCTGGATTTGGATACGTGGGATGAGAAAGTTCATGGTGCGCTCACAGCAAAGTGTTACATCAACTTCAATGCTGATTTCTGGTGGTATGAAGATGAATCAGACTTCATCCCAGTGATCAGCGGAGGCCTGGTGGCTACAACCAGGAAATGGTGGCAGGACTCGGGGGGCTTTGATCCTGGCATGCGAGGTTGGGGTGGTGAGAACACGGATCAGTCGTTACGGGCATGGTTGTGTGGAGGTGACATTCTACGTGCACGATCAAGTCATGTGGCGCACATGTGGCGAGTGGATTCCGACCCACGCACATTGTCCCACTACCATCTCCGGCACCGCACCGACAATCTGGCAAGGGTTGCCGCTATCTGGTTTGGTGAATTCAAAGACAAGTTTCGAGATGGAAAGTTGGACTCAAGATTGGATGTATCAATAGCTGCTCGGAAGCTGGAGGATCTTCAATGCAAGCCGTTTGCATTCTTTCTTCATCGCTTTCGAAAATTATATATTGCTGGTGGTGTGCTACCGGAAAGTGTTTTCCGATTGCGTCTAAAAGGCACTGAGAAGTGCGTATCGAAGGCTGGGAGTGCTTTCAGGTTAGAACCTTGCAGCGGCGCGTCATGGCTGCACTTTGCCAACATGGTCCCGCCGGGCTTCCCAAAACCAGGTGATTTTTTGCAGAGTGGCGAGCCTTCTTCTTCGGAAGTGGTTTGCGGTGGCCATACCGCTCGGAACTGTGCAGAGTGTCCCCAGAATCATGGAGAGGAGTGGTGTCACGTTGATTGTAAGTGGATCTTCGGCCAATGCGTCCCAGCAAACTCTGGTCCTTCAGCCTTAAACGCAAATTCATCCAGAGCGTTTTCAGGCATCCGGTTGTGGAACTCCATCGAATGCTTTGACAGATTAGATCCAACAGGCCCCATCGTCTACTTCTGCGACATTACTGGACAGAACCAGAACCAGCAATACGTGCTGGACACCCAGGGCCTTATTCGCCACTCCTCAGGCCGCTGCGTCTCTACAAATCTCAAGGCCACCAGTCTAGCTGCTACCCCGTGTGCTGGTGCACGTCACTGGGAGGTCATCGAGCAGTTCGTCCCAGCAGAAACCTTGCGGTACCAGGCAGCTGTGACCAGGTACCAGCTCAGGGAAGACTCTCCTGATAGCTAGCGGACAAAGAGGAGTTATATCCACTGTGATTGTCATGGAGTCATCCACTTACCAAAACATCATGGATTCTAGCCTAGCCGATCTTTTGCTGGGGGACCGTCACTTCAGGCATGTCTGGGGCTTGTAATGTCTCATGGCACGCAAGTGCCAGGATGCAAAGTCTGAGCCCGTCCATCGTCTGGGCTCTGTGAAGGTTTCACGAGCTCCGCACAACAAATGACGTAGCTGTACAAGGCTTACATGTTAAACGTCTGTACGTGCAATTGTCCAAATCAGCAAACAAGCTTGATGTCGCGTAAGAGCGCCGTAGTGGCCATGGCCCAGAAACGAAAGCGGGCACCCAAGGCTCGAGTTGAGATTGATCTATGTTTTGAGATTACAGTCAATTCTTTAGGTACTTCCAGCGTTAAGTTTTGAATTGGCTACTGTGGAAGATCTCTGGCAAGGCGGTGGGTGGCTTTCCTCTGGTGTCGCCATCTACGCAGGGGTTTGCAGAAGTGCCCTTGACAAAGCTCAAGGAGGCTGTGAAAAATGAGGCCTGCCCGTACTTTTGAGGCTTTCTGTTTGCCAATTCAGTGGATATGAGTTGAGAGGTCAGCGTAGGTCACAGGATAAGATCTGGGAGGCTTTCAGCAGCATGTGGCTCCTTCAAAACGTAACACCACAACTGTCTGCAACCTGCCACAAGCACAAGCGCACTTGTGTTGTTTGGATGGCAAGGTGAGCGCTGGGGCGCTTGCCGGCGCAGCTCATATGGTTCTGTGCCTGGGCTAGTATGGACATTCTCAATCAGTTCGATGTGGAGCTTGGCTCAGGCGACGTGGCCGGTGCGTGTTGGCACATGCGGATGGCTTTGCAAATGTGCGGGCGAAGCGGCCGTTTGGACTGCGCACCCTTTGCCGCCTGCATGGCTGCACGAAACCACTGGTGGCTGCAGCTTTTCTGACCCTCGTAGACAAGGGCAAGGTGAAGCTGTCTGACCCGATTTCCAAGTATATTCCTTTCTCGGAGGAAGTAAGTCAGAAGAAGGGGCGCAGGCGCAAGCCACTTCAATTGAAGGCCCGCAAGGTTAAGGTTCGGCCAACGCTTCGACATCTGCTCACCATGACAGCCGGGCTGCAGTATCAGGACAGGGGAACTGCTAAGAAAAGTGCGAATCTTTCAACAAGTGACGTTTTGCCGACAGGACTGCCGGGCTTATGCCAAGACCATGCGTGGGATTCAGCAGCGCCAGATCAAGACGCCAGGCTATTGTCGAGGGTTTCAACCCCTTGGTCTTGTTCAACACAGTGTCTTTGAGTTGCATTCGAGCTGATTGAGGGGAGGCTTGCAGCAAGCGGGGAACGGCCTGTTCACCGTCCTGGGGTGCATGGATCTGTTAGATTCAGTTTGAAAACTACCCAGGATTGCAAGGTCAGTGAGTTGCGGAATTCAATGTGTGAGCCATAGTCTGAACTTCTAGTATCCCCCTTAGTAACCCCGATAGTAGTCCCCTATATGATCCCCGATATAACCCCCCTTTAAGGAGTTTAGATTGTGGCTCATGTCTGGTGAGCCCAGGACCCTCGCAGCGATGTGCGAGGGACTTGCGGCCCAGCCCTTGCAGAACGAGCCAGGCCTGAAAGCAGAGTAAACTGAAGCCTCACGCATGTCCTGAGACCCTAAGGGTCAGAATGCCAAACCTAATTAAATGGAGTTTACTAGGGAATGAGGGAATATAATTCCTACATACTCCCTATATAGATTTATTCCGTTATTCTTATTAACCCCAGTAAGCTAAATTGCATCTACGAGCTTACGTCTGAACTTGCTGTCGCCCTGTAGCAGGGTCCTGCTACACCTACAGCTTCTGCACGGACATGATCGGGAGAGTCTGCGAAGCTGTGAGTGGAAAGCGTTTGGCTGCTTGGTTTAAAATGGCTGCAAGAATCTCTGCGATTAAACATTTGACCCGCCGACTGCATACAGGAAGGAAGTAAGTATGTGTAAGCTGCAGTTGCAGAGATAGTTTTTAGAGGCTTTTCTGTTTTCAAAACTGCCCTGGCCCTGTACAGCAACTGTTATCGAGTTGCAAACTTGACTCTTCCCATCGAATTTTCTAGCTGACAAGCGGAAGCCCTGGCAAGCAGAACAGCAAGCTCGGGCAAATAATTCTGGTGACTATTGTAGCCAGCTAAGGGGTCAAGCATTGTGAACAAGCACTCGCGGAATTGAAAGTGCTTTAAAGCCTTGCCACATCAGACAACCCTATTCGTCCCTATAAGCCCCCACCCGGTCTTCATTTCATCTTCTATTTTCTTTCCAGTGCGGTTTCCATGTTTCACCGTCACCGCTAAAGCTTATCTATCCCTAGAACCCCTTTAAAGGGCCTTAGGTCTCAAAATTCATGTTCCATGTCCCTGTGCATTGTTACCCTGATCCAGGACAAATTCATGCAGTCGGCTCTCTTGGCACCGCTGGGGATGCAGGACACCTACTTCGAAGTGCCAGACGCTCGCTGAAGCTTAAGGCAAAAAGCTGTTAGATCTTGCTTGCATGTAGACCCAACTAGACAGCATAGGCTGTCCTGTAATAGCCTGAGACTCTGTGTTTAGACACAGGATGAACAACCTCCTAGTCTTCCCATCAGTTTTTGAAAGAATCTAAGGCTAAGAAGCGGAAAAGGGAAGCAGTTCTCTACGACTGCCAGCGCAGTGGAGGAAGCTATGTGCCAAAGGCCACCGCGTTGATATGGGTGTGTTGTTTGCAATGGTGCTGAACCCAGGTCTGGAGTCAGCCGGAAAAGGCTGTGCCCATTATGAGCGGCGGAGGCGGCATATTGACCTACAACGCTGCTCGACATTTCTTGCAGAAGCTGTAGTTGCTTCATGGACTCACATGATGGAACTTATATGCAGTCATGACATGCGCTTGAACTGAAATCCGAATATCTTGCTTCCTGACCGCAAAGGATCCTGGAATGTGGAGCACCATTGAGGATTATGCCAAGTTCTGCCATATGCTTTTCACGGGCAAGTCTCGCAGTGGTGCTCGGATTCTGCGACCCGAAACTGTGAAGGCAGCAAAACCAGGGGGTCCCCATAGTGAGGATTACAGTATGTTGGAGTTGATATTGAGGTCTCTCTCTTTATGGAAAGTACCATATGTCAAAACCAATCGACTAGATGACCGTTGCATGACACAATCTTCTCTCCGACTGCCCTGACCAGGCCCTTTGGTCAGATAGCCTGGCAAAGTATGGGCAGAAGGCCAGGTTTGCGTCAGACATATGGTAGTTTCACTAAATAGGGGGACCCCCATATTATAGACCCCCAAATCCTATAATCATTATTTGTACAGGGTCCCCATAATGAGGACTATAAGATTATGTGGTCTATATTGGGGTCCCCACATAAACACAGTTTCCCTTTAATTTTCCATTTTCTTTTCCAGTTGATTCTCCATTATAGAGTGATACCATCCCTAAACCCTAAACCCCTAAACCCCTAAACCCCTAAACCCCTAAACCCCTAAACCCTAAACCCCCAAACCCTAATAGTAGTTTCCGTTTTATGTTCCATTACCCCAATATCCTCTTGGTTGTGGACAAGAACCCACTGCTAGGATGGCCGACTGCCGGGCTGGCATGATGCTGATGGCAAGGCCAAAGGTGGCCACTGGGATTCTGGGCTGGGTTTAGGGTTTAGGGTTTAGGGTGTAGGGCGTAGGGTTTAGGGTTTAGGGTTTAGGGTTTTGTCGTTAAGGAACTTAACTTTAGTTACTATATTCGCCCCTTATAATGGATAATCAAATGGAAAAGAACATGGAAACTTGGGGAAAAGAGGGATTTACGGGACTTGATTTAAGTTACTATATTGGGGAAACCCTATTATTCACTATATATACCCATTATGGTAACTTATTTTAAGTTCCTTAACAGCAACCCAGGATTACACCGGCTGGTCCTTGCTGAAGCTTAGCTGAAGCCAAGACAAGCGTCAAGAGCACTTTCTATAGCATGATGTTCGGACTTGGGATGAGGGGCTCGGATAGCTCGTGACAGTTTTCAGCAATCCGTAATAAATTTAGTAAGCAAGAGCTTGCAGCACCAAGCCTGAGTCTTTTGGATAAGTGCCTTGTGTGCCACAGGGTCCGCTCAGGAACACCCACTTGACCTTCAAGCAGATGCCTTCCCCGAGTCCGGGACGGCAAAAATGGGGTTTGGGCGCTGTTGCATGGCAGCTCGGATCTTGCTCTGGCATCCAGCTCAGGAGCAAAAGAGCCCGGGTAGGGCAGACTATGTGGATGGGAGGCGGTGGTGGCACCTTTTGGGTGGTGGACAAGCGCAACGAGACCATTGCTATTTCATTCTCCCAAAGTTTTGGGGGGCGTGGTTCGTTGACTGACACTGCGAAGGACGTTCCCAAGCTGTTTTGTCAGAGGATTCGTGATGTTTTGCACAGAGCATGATTTCAGGCACAGCTTCTGGATTTGATTTGCTGTGTCCTGAAAGGGTCATCATCTGTAAATGCATAATTGAGGAAAGAGTTGAAAGACCGCATGGCATTTCCCTATGCTACCTGATGTTTTTGCATCTTTCTTCATCCATGCTATCTTACGCAGTAACCTTGCTGCCTGCGAAGGATGCATCAGTCTTTGTGGAGGCCGCGTTGCAATCGCGGTGACCTGCTATCATCTTTGGCTTCGGTGATGTGCAGTGAAGCTTGTCCCGATTTGGCTGCTTCAACTTACATGACAGCTGGATACAGAGCAGCATGCTGACTGTGAGCAGTCGGCAACAGGCGCGGGATGACATGAAAGACGGTAGGCTCTGCTTTTCCTGCTACAGGCGCTTGTAGCAAGAGCCAGCGTCGTTGAGCAAGTCAGCTCAAGTAAAAGGAGCGCATCGTACCTTGGTTTGATTGAAGTGAAAGTCTGTGCGTGGGGGTTTTCGGAAATGGACCTCTTGGGACCTGACACTCATATTGCAAGTCTGTTGACAAAATGGAAGCCTCCTCCTCTCTGGAATATTATCCTTATGCAAACTTCCGTAGATATGTGGAGCTATGCCCACTGGCATGCAGAGGGGACGTTGCTGGGCACTCTTGATAAGGTTGAGCTGCTCTGATGGTTTGGATTCTGCCTGCAGCCTGCTTAGCAAGACTTGTGATGTGAGGCTTATTCCACCTTTCATCTGAGACCGCTTTACTGAGCCACTGTGTGGCAGTTGCATGTGGCACTATGTCACAGGCTACGCATTTACAGCCTAGACGGTCCCTTTTGTATAACAACAGAGCCGTAGTTGAGCCATTGCGCCCCAGCGGGTGCTGCCCGAGGCAGGGATTCTGCAGAAATCCCTCCATCTGCTGAATGATTATGTTCTCAGCTGCCAGGAAGTTTGGTTACAGTTGTACTATGCGCACTGTGAAGCATGTGGTTGGCCATAGCTCCGGGACTACATGAGCATGGATTGGTGCTAAGTCGAACATGAGCGTGCTTTCCTTCCACCTGAATATCATTGTCGCAGGAGTCTGTGTAAGCATGACGGAAGACACCTTCTAAGAGCTCAGCCGAATTGTCATGGTTGAAATTCCAAGACGTGCTGCATGACGTCTTGTTGCGAGGTCAGCGATGCAGGCTTCTTGCCGCTGCAAAATCTGTCAGGGGTTGGTGAGATGCAGAGGGCAACAGGGGTTCTGTCATGGCAGACACTGGGCAAGGTAACGCAATCATAGGGCAGCATGTGGGCGGTGCATATCAGCTTGTGAAGAACTCAGCCAGCTACAAGCTTGAGACGAGAGATTGGGGCCTAAATCTGGCAATAGCAATCAAGGAGGAAGAAGCAATTTCAGAACGTGTTCTCTTCGCCTTATGGCTTTCTCTCACAGGCCCTAAAAGAAGGTGGAGTTTGCATAGCTGTGTTTTCACAAGTCTGACAGTGTTCCTTCTTCCCAGCTTACAGAACTATTTGTGATGTGAAACATGTGGAGGACATTCCATGTTGAGAGTTCTCTCAGCCTTTGGTGTGAAACATCAGTCTTTTATGCCTACACTTCCTCTAGAGGAGGGCATAAGCCCGCTTTGGTTTTCAAACCAGTGGCACCCATGCTTAGTTTGCAAGTGCGAATAAACCCGTAAACGCGCTATATAGAGGGAATGACACTATAGACTAGAAGAAAATACGCGCGAGAATTCATGCAAGGAGTTATAGAAATATTGATGAATTAGATAGACAATTTTCGGACGAACGAGAACATGGGGATTCTACGGAGGTGAAAACGGGACCGGAAGGCAACCGAACAGGGCGATATCATGTGTTGGTGGGGACAGAACGCAGAGCACACAAGCATATGTCACCCATAACCCCTTTGAAACGACCAACCACTGTTTCAGATAGGCTCCGCCTTCTGACAACCTCTACATTGCGGACCTACCGCCTGGCTTCGACGCGGGGGGTCCAAGTGTTGCCCAAGTTGGAGTTTAGGGTTTAAAGTCTACTTGGAGGCCCATGGGACTTAGTAACTACTTATAACTGGGATTATACCCCTACTTAAAATTCGGGTAACCCCTATACGACTATGTAGGCGGATTATACTGAAGTTTATGGTCTCAGGAGCGGACCCACTCCCCTAACAAGGGCGAATAGTTGATGGCACGCGCACGAGGCGCCTGGCGTTTTCGTTGTCCTCGGAAGGTTTATGGGGAGCATACGGGCATCAGAGCAGTCATGCCCAGACCATAAGAACGTTCGTGTTCCAAGAGCATACGGTCATCAGAGCATCCGTGCCTAAACAATAATAACGTTTGTGTTCCAAGAGACTACGGTCATTAGAGCATCGCAGCGTCTCTCAAAGAATGGAAGAAGCTAACAGCAGCTTGGGCAAAAAAGCCTCCTGCCTCAGGGATGTTGTCAAAAAACGATATAGTTTTACCTAACGGCGCCGAAACCATACAAATAAGAACATCCAGCCGCCTCAAAACCTCCAAGCGCCTCGCGGCGCGCAACCTAGGTTGTCACGCTTTCCTGAGGGTTCCTGATGGGATGGTAAAGATTCTCATGATTGTAAGGACAGTTGTTAGGGGATTATTCAGGAACTTGGGATCTCTTCCAGCAACCAGTTGTTGAAAAAGGTTATGAGGATGCATCATTATGCTCGATTGTTGTTGGAGTCGAAATGTTAGATTTTTTCAGGAGGTAAGCCGGTAGGCTCAAGTTACAACCTTTCGGCGCAACTGATGACCCAGATCAAGGTCTAAACTACCTGAAACCCTAAATAATCGCATCCATTTTCTTTTTCCACTATCCTTGTATACCATCTTGACATACATATATACATATGCATTAACTCTAGTACTGCATACAAAAGGGAAACAAGGAGCCTCGCGACGGGTCTTGGTTATTCATTCCACATGCAGTGCCAGATGCCCAGAGCAGGTTACACTTCTCTTGCTCAAGTACAGGTACTGGGGTCAATATTATGATATATATCTCTCTATATATATATACATATATATACACATAGTAATAATGCAAGCTGGAAAAATTACTTTAGAGGGTCTAGCATGCAGCTTAAGTTCTGGTGCATCGGACGTAGGCTCTTTGATTGCATTAGCTTTTCTTGGGAAAACGTGTTCCAGGCCTGGATTGCCCATATTATGAGCCGCCAAGAACCCTACACCCCTTTATCAAACGCCTTTCTGAGCAGCTGAGAAGTTATGGAAAATCCACACAAAACCATGTAAATATCTATATATAATCTATATATATATATATACGTATACACAAATATCCCCTATCAGGCTAATTTTGGGAAAGCCCCCCCAACTTGGGGATGCTGAATCCTCAACCTAAACCCTAAACCCTAACCCCTAAAAAGCGGTTTCCTTCTTCTTTTCCATTATCCCTATATACCCCTATATAGTAGTTTCCATTTTCTTTTCCATTATCCCAATATGCCTAAACCCAAAACCCAAAACTCTAAACCCTAAACAAAAAGAAGCAGCCAGCCTCGCAGGATGCGAGCTTGCAAGCAATCTTCCAGGAGTCGAGACCTCTGGAACCATATCAAAGGGCAATGCATATCTTTCTTTGGGTTTGGGTGTAGCCGAAGGTTGCAGAGGGGTATATTACAGTGTATTATAGTGTTTTACAGTATACTACAGTACATTATAGTGGTTTATAGGATTTTTTAAGTATATTATGGGGTGGAATTTGCATCAGCCATGCTGTTCTCTGAGCTTTTTGAGCCGGCCTGTTCAGGTTTAGAGATGTTTTCACGTCTAAAGCCTGCTTAGTCAAGCCCGTCACAGGGCCATGCGTGCAATCCTGCCTTGCGCTTGCTATTGCGCAGCTGCACAGAGTCTCAAACCCGAAGTGAAAGCTGGCAACTGAACAAGCAATTTGCGCACGATCCTCAGAGTGGAAGCACTGATCCGAAACCCTAAACCCTAAACCCTAAACCCCAAAACCCAAAACCCCAAACCCAAAACCCTAAACCCTATGAGGTATGGAACCATCTCACAGTTCAAGCTTCTGCAAAACAGCGGGCCTGGTGGAAAGGCCTGGCAGGGCAATTGAGAGGCCTTCAAAGCATTGGAATATCCCATTTTCAAGGGGGTTTAGGGGGTTTATAGGAGGTTATATTAGGGATATAACCTTGCTCTTGTTTCAGGAGGCCCTGACACTAGGGTTTCGGGTTTGGGGTTTAGGTAGACGTTGCGTTTCGTAGATGTTTAGCTGAGAGGTCCCCCCCAGCCGAGGCAGGTCCAACTCCGAACTTGCTGGGGATTAGTAGGAATTACGGGAAGATAATCTCTATATAGGCCCCATATAATACATGCCCTTACTCCCCTAAACCCCAAACCCTAAATAGTAGTTTCCATTTTTTCCGTTATTCCTATACCACCCTATATTATACCCCTGTCTTCCCTTATTCCCTACTAACCCCCTGTAAGATGCATGCATGCTTGGGCCAGACAGCGGCGCTGGTGAGATTTTCATCCGTCGATGAGGCTGGTACTTCGATGGAAGGAGATCTTGCACCCCTTAGGTCCCCCGAAAATGGTGTGGTTCGTAAGGCCTTCATCCATAGCAACATGAGAACTGGCAAGCTCCAGAAATCTGATGCATCCCAGGGAGGCTTTGTGAGTCTGATTCTAGATTTGTGGATGCCAGGCGACCTGGTTGGTTCAGAACCTGGATGGCAACATCCCTCAAGGGCTGAACTCGCCGATCATCGTCAGGCCCCCTCCGTGCTGTGTGAGCAGGGCTGCTGCAAGTGTAGCCTGCCTAGTAGTTAGGACTCGCGTGGCCTGCTTTCTAGCCCCAGAATGAGTGCAGGTATGCAGACACGTGTGGGCCTTTCCGGAGGGCTGTGAGACCTGCTGTGCATGTTGCACGAGGGCCGACCCATGCCAAAGTCATGTTCACAAGCATTTGGCTTGCTCGAACATGCAGGTTGTAGTTCGTGCTTTGGATCGTGGCAAGGATGTTCTGTCTTTTCTTCTGCTGTGGTTGCTTGCGCTAGTATCCCACGCGACGTTGTGACCTCTGTTGCGTGGCAGTTGCGGTGTCCGTGAAAGAATGGGTGGGTCGCGGCAGGCAGATGTATCCCTGTGCTCTAGGGCAGACCAGCATGATTTTGTTATCGCCCATTGACTTACCTTTGGTTAGCTAGGAAGGAAG